AAACAATATCTAACCTATCCATTATTCTTTTAAACCACTCTCGTATCTTCAAAAACTAGTTACTCTCTTAACAAATAAATATTCTTATCTTAGCTCTTGAACTCGGAATTACTTCAAAATGATGACAAATTACAACTAGTTTTCATGTTTTTTGTGATATATAATTTAACGTTGTCACTGAATGTATACGAGATTTATGGGAATACATGAAACGTAGGTAGGTAGGAATGTGAAAGGACATGACTACAATGCATGGATGGGATGGGATATAATCCCACATTCCTATACATGGGGCCCAACTCATGTCTCCCCTTATCCAGCACTACAGCTTTCCCAGGGCTCCTCTTATTTCGTCTTTTTCTTCTGTTTTTCTATTTTTCTTTTTTCCCACACCCTTTTAACTGTGATAGGTACGCTTCTAATCCTCAAACACTGATGCAATGACTTATCCACTCACTCACTCACCCACCTAAGAATGCTCTCTATCTATACAACTCACACAGCTTCAGACGATAGTTTTATTTTGCAACCAGTAATTATTCCAATTCCAATGTATCTGACTTGCTACCCCATTATCCTCCCACTGATCAAAGTGATTGCATCTCTATGTATTTTAGACCCTGCATGGTCCATACCCACCTATATCAAACCTTTCAATGTCTGTCCTCTCTGTTATCTCTGCAAAAACAGCATGCATGGTCAATATTGGGTACCCTATTCATCACTGCATTTTTCTCTCCACATATCTTCTTTAAGATAGTCCTGATTAAAACATGGTTATGAGATGAGTAATTTTCATTGTCTGATGACTATTAAATATATATAAACATATTTTTTAACTAAACTTTAAATCTTGATTTATCACAGTGGGTTAACTAATTCTTTCTATCATATCATATTCAACCTAATATAACTCAAACCCTGCTGATATTATGGTTATAATTTCATTGAGACCCTGATATGAAATTTTACGTTACAATCACTGTTATACACTAAATAAAGGGGTAACTGTAGTCCTTTTGGTTGTGAATGGTCGATATACCTTGATATGTGTTTGAGGCAACCCATGGAGATATGCCCTAAGGCCATGGAAAGAATGTATATATTTTAGTCTGCGTGACTGATATGTACAAAGTAATTTATGTGTATGGGAAAGAGCGAAAGTTAGAAGAGTAAGTGTAAAATATAGATAATTTCATGGTTGTTCTAAGTTGTAGCTTTCCTTCTCCTCCATACTGGGTGGTCCCCACCTTAAAAGCAGCAAAATTACATGTACATAGGTAGGCATCCACATTCCTCAATGAGATTGATTGAGGAGTGAGAACCCCAACGAAGGGTTCACACCTGACAAAAGATATGGTTGGACAAGATTCTTTGTTCTGGGGAGGAAAATACAATATATACTAGATCATCTCATGGCCATGGGAATATTGGACTAGGGACGAAGCTATGTGAGGAATTTCTGACAAGCAAAAAACCATGACGACCAAAGGTGACTGTTAGGAGAATTTTCGGTTACCAAGGCTTGCTATCGACGACTTGATGGTGATCCTTCTTGGACTTTGAAATTTGAAGCAGCCTTTGTTAGCCACAATTAACTAATTAAACCCAACCATCTTTACCTTAGTTTTATATAAAAAAGAATAACTGAGTTCTTTCCAGTTAGCACAATTCCCATGTGACAATACACTGATGATCCCCAAACCAAGATCTCCTATATCTCATATATTCTTATAATATTAACTCTCTGCCGTATCAGCTATTCGAAGTTTGTGAGCATGTGTGAACTTCTCTAAAACAAAATTTTAAGATAAAGTGATATATCACACAATTTAATAGGCCAAAACCCCACAAACTTAGAGAGAACTTGTACGATTTTATTATATATATATATATATATATATATATATATATATATATATATATATATATATATATATATATTTGATGTAATTGATTTTCGAATTATTAAACATATTTGAGATACATACTTTGTACTGAAACATGTATATGATGAGAACAATTAATTCTAAAAATAAACCAAACATTCTTACATCCCTTCTTCCCTTTCAGTTCATGATTAGATGATCAGTGTGATATATAGCTAAGAGATATCGAGACGGAGCGTCGCATTTTTTTCTAGAGAAGGCAAAAATACCATGCATGACACATAAACACAAAAATATTAACATTGTCAAAGTGATATAATACAGACAACAAGTTAAAGGTAGCATACATAGGTAGGTCATCAGAGGTAGTTGGTGTTTCATTAAAGATGTTCACATGCTAATATATATTAATCAAACTTGATATAAACATAATTAACGATCGTGAATAATTGGCGCAATGCAATGATGACCTAATCTTTACGAACAAAAAAGCATTCAATTCTATTGCGGAACGAATTTGTATTATTAAGGACAGCACAACTACACTATAATTGTTATTTGTTTTTGTCCAAATTCAGAAACAAAAAAGTGAAATATGGAGCCCATCATTTTGGTTTCGATTGTGGAGCCTACATGTGAAACACTAACTGTAACTTTACCAATTTTTTAAACAGGAATGGTAAAATTGATTAAAGAAAATAATAAAAACATAATAATTCATATTAGTTTTTTTTTTCTGACTTCCTATAACTTGTATGACAATTTACCACACCTATTTTAATCTTTCATATGTTCTCTCTGTACTTCTATATGTTGTTTAGATAGAAAAAACTGAAAGAAATAAGATGGATTATTTTAAATAATTATACATATATATATATATATATATATATATATATATAATATTTAAACATAATTTTATACATTTACATTATCTTAAGTTGTTTAATAAAACACTGACCGTTATTATTTATCAAATTTATTTCCTGACTTATTGTTGGTTCTAGTCAGACTGCTTACGATAATTGCTTAAATTTACTGGTTGAGTTGGACCGCAATCCATTTAGAAAATTGGGCTGGGCCGATATCTCTGAGGCCATTACATTTGACACATCCGTAATTGCTTCGTACATCTCTTATTTTATAAGATGACAAAAATGACCTTTTGGTTATACTTTCCCAAAAAAGGATTATCCTTAAAATTCTTCTTGACTTACATATTTGAGACACATTATTTAAAAAAAAAATCTGACAAACAAATTGAAATTAAAATTTAAAAATAATTTTGAGAGACATCATATGAAAAAAATATTTATCTGACAAACAAATTGAGGTGAAAATTTAAAAAATAATTTTGATCATTTTATATTAATAAAAATAAAAAACCTATAATAATAAATGAATATCATTAATAAAAATAGAAAAATACTAATAAAATAATATTCTTTATTTTTAAAAACTAACAAATAAAAAAATTATCAAACATGTATTTTTATTTTTAATCATTAAAAAATTGAAATTATTCGTTAAATGGTAAAAATATTATACTTAAACCTATATGAGAAGTTTAATTTTTAGAAAATAATAGATTTCAATCTGTCTCCGAAAGATTATTATTATGTGATATTGGAAAATGATAATTTGAAATAATTACAATTTAACTTTAAATTATATATTTTAGAATATTCAATTTGGAATATATTTTTTCCATTACACCTATAAAATATGTACTTCGAATATTTTTTTAATACGTTCCATGTAACTGTTTTTGAAAAGACTAATGATTTTAAACATCAATTTCTCATTCTATTACAGTGGTGATGAAGAAAATAAATAGGGTGGTCTTAAAAGCAATCTGTTTGTTTTATCTCTACCTTTCGTTGAGCCTTTTTTTTTTCTTGCATTGTTTTTAGAAGAATCTCACTATTTTATACCTTTCGTTTGTTTTCATTGTTATTTCTTAATCTGAGTATATTTTCAGTTTTTTTTTTTTTACGAGAGAATATTTGAAATGTTTAGTGTAATTTATTTTCAAGCTAAATAGAAATGTTGTATTTACGAAGTAAGAAATATGTGGTGAAAGAAGATATCCTCTTCGTACAAAACAACACTTATATTACACATATAGTTTTATACACAAGTTTAAATATTAATATCATCAAACGCTGGGGAAATTTAAATTTAACAAATTGTTTTTAATTAAATTTAATTAAAATTGAAAAATAAATATAACTAATTGAAAGTTAGTAATAACTAAATATATATTATATAAAATATTGGTTCATAAAATTTCTGGCAATTAAAAATATATTAAAAAAGTCAAATTCTTTTAATTAGTTATCTAAAATTAGTTTTATACAAAACGATGTTGGTATGCGTATGTTTGCATGTAAAAATGACATTTTGTTTTTTTGGAAAACATTAAATAAATAATACATTTTACGGGGATACAAATAGAGAAGGAAATGAAATTATCTCAACAAATTATTCTTTATTTTTAGTTCTTATTATATTTTATTTCTAAGTTCTTATATATATATATATATATATATATATATATATATATATATATATTTTTTTTTGTTTCTTCAAATTATCATATTCTGTTTTAATTTTTATAAATATATTTTATTTGTATAAATATTTTATTTTATATCTTGTGATAATATTACCATTTACTTTTCTGATAACATTGATCTTACAATCTTGATCACATGATATATGTTATGTTATGATGTTATCACTATCAACTACACTGAAAAAAAAAATAGAGAAAAAAAGAAGAAGAAGAAGAAGAAATTAAACACGGAGCAAAATAAAACTCAAATAAAATAAGAAACTGAAAATCTCTATTTTGAAATTTATGTCATTTAATTAATTTAGGATATTATATTTTATAACTGTCATAGCTAAAATTCATGGATCATCGCCCTCCTCGCTCTCTCCCACTGTGATTGAAAACACGATGAAATAACAGTAATTAGGAACTTGTACAGTTGAATAGCAAGCACTCCACGCCTACGCAATCCTCTAGTAATTTTTCTTCCACGCTTTTCCTTCTCCTCTTTTCACACCACGCAACCTTCGACCTTCCTAGGGTTTCATCCAATTATGAACTGTGAGGTTTGCCAGCTCAAGGAGCTGGAACTCGAGTATTTCGAGATACGCGAGGTTTTGCGATGTAATTCCGCCAATCCTGTTGTAAATCTCCTTTTTCGATTATGATTTTGTTATTCATTTTGTTGAATTGCGATAACCGGAGTGACGGTGTTGCAGGCATATTGCACACTATCGTCTTTCACCGTGCCTTGGGTCTTGTGCGCCCTAAAGATGTTGACTTGGAGCTTTTTGATGTAACTTATGTACGTTTTCAATCTCAATTGACTGCTATTATCACTTGTGCGTTAAAATCTCTGAACCGCCTTTTAACTGTCTTATATACATTATGACTCACTTATAAGTGCATGTTAGGTTAGTTGAGTTATCCGGCTCTAAATTGCGTTGAAATACCAGCTAACGAGGTTTTAGGTTGATGTTTGAAGAATTGATGCTGGGTCTAAAATTAATTTCAAGTTGAAGCAAGTTTAGATAGATTTTAAGTTGGATTATAAATTTTTATTTTGAATTTTATTACTAACTTGCTTTTAGGATAAAAACACCTAAACATAAATTGGTTCACTTCTAAATACATTTTAATTAGAATCAGTTTTGCGAACACTCGCCTAAAAATATATGCTAAATAAACCAATTGTGTTGTGTTCTCTTTTTAATGTCATTTTGGTGTGTAGGTGCAATGTGGAGAGGCAGAGCTTGAGAAGAAAATAGATGAGAAGATTGAGCAGTTTGTTTGTTGGGTGGAGAAGCATCCAAACAAAAAGAGTCAGGTCAGTGATGTGGGTAAAATGGTGCTAGTAGGGTATTGTATTCGATGTTTTGTTTCATTGTAATTAGTTTTTTGATGGGATTGTGAATTGGATGGTGCAGATATGTTTATCTTTCTATGAGGTGAAGAACAAACAGGCTTCTTGGTTCAGTAACAAGATTGAACGTCTGTATTGGGAGCAGTGGTATATTAATCTGAATGTGGCTCAGCATCTGAAGCCACATTCTAGCAAGTATCATCATCCCAAAGTTGTAGATCCAGGAGGTGCAATTCCTTGCTCTGTTTGTCAAACTAAATCTCTTTTAAAGTTTCACTTATACTGTGAATTTATTTTTCAGTCTCTTAGACATTTTTTTGGGGTAGGGTGCTGTTTACCACTTTTTGTGTTTCTTACGTGTAGAGGGAGCAATGGAGGATAGAAATGCTCGAAGTGCAGCACTGGAGGCATCACTTCGTGAGGTTTTATTCCAGATAATTAAATTTGTTAATGAGAAGAAGGATCATGTTCCACCAATTCCAAATCTTGAGGGTGCTGTTTCATTTCCCTATGAAATTACAATACCTAGGTGAGTTAAGTGTACTCTGGCTGACCATATCAGTTGTGATTTTGCATTTCGTATATTTCTTTAATATTTTGATAGCTCTGATTCTGAGGCAGTGTTCTACTTTGATTGTGTTGATAACATGATGCCTTTCAAGTTTTTTTTTTTTTTTTTTTTTTTCAATGACTTGTAGAAAATCTTGGAACCATTGGAGTCCAAGGTATTGTGATTAAGTGGGATTAAATTGAAGTACATATAATGTAATGAAATGCACATGAAGTAAGATGAAATTAACAATGTTTTAGAGGATATAAATTTCAGAATAACACTGCCACAAGCTGTACAATTTAGGCATCTTAGGTCCAACACAAGGGGACCATACAAAGGATTAAAAAATGCTTGTGATCATGAATTGTCTGTGAAAGTAAAAGGAGATATGATAATGCACAGGTTGTAGTTTATTTTGGCCAGTCAAGTTCCACAAAAATGTAGTGGATATGGGAGTGCTGACGTAACATAGTGGATTGACAAGAAAATATCAGGTTAGGGGCAATCAAGTATGAGATAAAAGTTGAGTTGCATTTGTCAAGTAAAAAGACGGCAAAAACTTACCAATATGGCTTGGTCATGTTAGTAGTCCAATGAAATAAAACAAATCGGGAATTAGGATAAGACCTCCCCCTCCCCACCCAGCAGATGAGAACTATTTGAAAAGACTTAATTCTAAATGGCTTTTCTCTTTTTCTGAAATTAGGTTTTGAGTGGATCACACTGGTGTCAAATGATCCATGAGCCCACATTGTGAGATAGGCTGTTACTTTTGCTATTATTTTGCTCCTAATTATGTGGAGGCAGAAAAACCTTGAATGGCTACAGTCTAGCTTGGTTGAAGGACGTGCTGACTTTAATATGTACTGAAATGAATTTTGTTGTAGAGTTTAGTGGAAGAGAGACCAGGGCAGAGAACATAAAAATTATTTTCAAGTTAGTGTTTAGTAATATGCATTGTTTAAGAGGCATTGCATCAGCTTATTGTTTGGAGAATGTAAATTTATTGACAAGAAGCTACCTCTTCCGCATAACTTGAAAAGTTTCAAACCATAGATTGTTGTGAGGATTGAGATCAATATTGAAGAAAATTAATACTGACATGATTTAGTTTTTATTATTTGATATTTTGTTATACACTAATTGTACCTAATTTCATTAATAGACCTTTTGGGTGGTGATTTTGAATGTCCACCCTTTTGCTTTACTTGCTTTTTCTTATTGTTTGTGATGAATAATTTGTAAATAAAGGTGTGATTACTAGTTAGGTAACACATATCTCTAATTCGACAAATGCAAGTGTGATGCTTGCATCATGTTATCTGTTGGAAATTGTTTGGATGAGTCGGTAATTAATGCTTAGAATACCTAAACAGGTATATTCATGTATGGTGGCTTACCATTTTCCTAGGGAGTTGCATTTTCTTTGCTCTTAAATGTAATTCAACACGAATGATTATATATAAAGATGGTGCTAAGTGCTTCTTCACTCTAGCATTTCACCAAATTTAGTCTTCATCTTGGTATTAGAGCATGTTTGATTCCGCATTGCTTGTCTCTGTTTTTGGACAAGTTTTCTGTGTTTTCCACCATCGTCAGTCAGCAACTGTTGTTGCAGTAATACTTTTCATCCACTGTGCTCTGTTCTCTGTTGTTTCATATGTTCATCAAGAGAGTCTCAGGTGTTTAAGGAAAAATCCAAGAAGCAGATTCTTTTGCCACTAGTGCCTCAAAACATACTATTTGGTAAAATACCATGGATATTAGATTCACGTGAATTTATTGTGATGGTTCTTTCTTCTCCTTCCTAAATTTCATACTCTCATCAACGTAGCAAATGGTAGACGTACATAGCGTTAACTTCTTCAAGCAGAGAGGTTGTTTGTTTCTAGGATTTGAACTCATGTTCTCTAGTTCACATGCAGGCTTCCCTTCCCGTTGCACCAAGGTTCTTCCTTTTAGCAGAATGAATGCCTGCACTTTGGTAGTTTATATTCCCTACTCAATGTGGAGTGGCTCCATCCATCTATTGGGCATTAGCAATAGCAACTGTATTTTCCATTATTTTCACTATATATTATTTTGTTGTCACATGACTAATATTTCTCAAATGTTATGTCACAGCAAAAGTATTCCTTAAATCAACAGGTCAAATGCTAATTAGGGTCTTTTGCAAAAACAAATTGTGTGATCTTTGTGACACAAAAAGGATTTAGAACTATTGTTTGAAAATTGTCTTATTGTGATCACTTTTAGCCTGTGCAGTTGTGGTCCCTTTGAAAACTACCTTAATTGCTAGGGTGGTGTTTTAGTTTCACATTGACTACATATATAACTTGGATAGAACATATAAGGCTTAAGCAGTTCTCATCATATAAGCTAGTTTCGTGGAGCTTATAAAGCCTAAAGCAGTTCTCATCATATAAACCAATTTGTGGAGTTGAGCGAGGTTGTATACCCAAATTGTAAGATGGTACTTGAGTTTATCTTAGATCCATTATTGAGCTACTTGTATTTGCCACCCTCTTAGCGAATGAAGCCTTAATTGCGGTCACTCTTAACCTGTCTTAACTGGCCATCTTTTAGTAACATCCTTAGTTGCAGTCTGAAGAGTGTGGTGGTATAGTCATTATTATATGAATTAGGAAAGTTTATAGAATTTGGACAATTCTCATTCTTACAAGCTGATGAGATAGTCCTAAACCCCAATTTTAAGAATTATCATTGAAAAATAATTTATTGTTTGAAATTATTATTATTATTATTATTATTATTATTATTATTGTGATGCCAAACTGAATTTCATTAAGGAAAACAGATTTTCACACAAGATGTGTCAAAATCTGAAAATAGATGTCTTGTAGCAAACATAAAAACAAAAAAGCAACGTCTCCAAATTGCAGCAGCAATAATTCAGACTAATAACTATACTACACACTAACAACATACATATTTATATGTCTGTGGATACATCAATGGTATACTGACTTGAGATTATATTTTTATAATTTCTTTCATTTTATTTTGAAAAGCTGAAAGAAATAGAATTTATGAAGATCTTCAGATTGGTTGGTTAGTATAAACAACAATTATTCCATGATCCTAGATTTATAGAATATCTATTTTGGATGAAGATTACTACCCTCCGCATGTTGAGCGATGAATGTAGCTAGTTACTTCTCTGTTTGAAAATTATGCTGAACCCTGTGCTATCAATGACCAGTTCATCGGATTCTGCATTTGGGATGGACATGATCAAGAGAATGCTCCAGACAGGGCATCCAACGATGCTAAGTTGATTGTCATAGTCTTTAGAGCGGTCTATGGGGTTAAATGGATTCTTGGTCATATGTTTAGGCTGGAAGTATGCTACTGAAGAAAGCTAAGGACTACAAGGTTCAATCTAATAGTAAATAATTCAGAATCTATAGGTGCAAAATAACTTATATATCTTTCCAAATATACCTCCTTGTGAATCTCTCGTTTGATATCTTGTCCTTATTCTAATCATCTCTCAACATATGTATTTACTATGGTAGCTGAAGCACTTCATTCCTTTCTATCACCACAGGAAGCTAATTTTGAATTTAGGTTTTTTAATTTAAATGATATAGTTGTGAAGTCGTTGATGAAATATAAACATGCTTTTAATAAATTATGGAATTATCAACATCTCTATTATTAAATTGTGAAGTGATATTTGTTACTCCGTAATCTATTGTCTAAAGCGTATCACGGCATCTTTCCTTCATCACATGTAAAATACGGGACACGCAGGGGTCACAATGAGAGAAGATAATCCAAATAAATTGAGTGGTTTATGCTCCTTTGCTTTTCATTCTTGTCCAGGGTGTCCAGTCTAGTTTTTGATGTTATGTGTGTCAGGTAACAAAAATCTAATTATATCTATATTTTTAAATTAATTAAATTTTTTATTTAATTCGATTTTATGTTAAATTAACGGATTAATGGATTATTTTTTATTTAATTGGAAATAAAATAAAAAATTATTTTTTAAAATAATATCAATAATAAAATCTTGAAATATTATGATATAAAATTTTATAGTATAAAATCATAAAATATCAACTTTATTTTGTATTTATAGTAAATAACAAAAAATAATATTTAATAAAAGTTTGCATAATATAATTATTATAAAATATTGAATATTAATTTGAGTATATAAGAAGATTCAACAATACGTAATCAATTACGAATTACGGGAACGAGTGTTATATAAAGATTCTGAAGTTAGCATTATAAGTTGAATGTTTAAAATGTTATAAAATGTAGAATGAAAGGTTATAAAATCAACTAAATAAGTAGTATGATAAGACATTTTTAATTTTTAATTTTTTGATGATAAATACATGTTATAAATTTATATATTGGGATTGAAGTGTTTTCCTAATTAGTTTAAAATTAGGATTTAAAATTTTATTTATTTTTTTCTTTTAATTATTTCTGTAAATTTTATAGTTAAACTTTTATTACTTTAACAATAATATCCTTATTATCCAATTTGATTTTTATATTTTATTATTCTTTCTAAATTATATATATATATATATATATAATATAAAATATATTATCAAATTAATTTATTATATTTTTTATTCATAAAATAATATTATTTTTATTTTATTTTAAAAATAATTATTATTTTATAAAATAGGTTAGTTTATCAGTTTATAAACTAGTTTGATCTAAATTTATTTATAAGTTAGTTTAATCTAAATTTATTTATAAATAAGTTAGGTTAAAATTGAGCTAATTACGTGTAAATGATAAATTTTTAATCATAATCTAACCTATTTTTTTAGTTAGTATATCAAACTAAATATATTTTGACAATTTTTGTTTTATTTTTTTCCTCGAGTCACCTATTCTCTCTCCTGTTTGGTTATTTTACTTAATATGTATTTTAGTTTATAAATTGTTAGTTTTCAATTAATTTATAAGTGTATGTCATTCTCTACAATTTTTTTTTCACACCTGAAGGAATCAAATTAATAAAAGTTATCTAATCATAAGGCTCAATAATGTTTTCAGGCCATTTTTTTTCCTACTGCACTCTATCTTTGACTTATTTTTCCTTCAAAAAACCGTACAATGGGATGCTCTCGATTTCTGTAAAATTGGATTTATGTCAATTGTTTTACTTATCAAAATTTATTTTGGTGTTCAAATAGAATGACGATTGCGAACCCTCTTGAGTTGAATTCCAGAGTCCATTGGTACACAAGTTTATGCTCTGTACACGGTAAACATCACCCTTAAGTATTGTCTTTGAAAACACCAAATACATCAAATCAATGAAAAATCCAAATACAAAAAAAAAAAAAAAAAACATTATTTTCTCTTGTCTGGTCCTATTAATGTTTCACCCTGTTACACCGAGATACCAACACAACCTTGCTCCATCAAATTTGTGAAAGCAACCAGGGAAAGATGGATGGAAATGTTCCTACATTTTTAAGAGATGATTTTGATGATGATTCAAGTTAACTACATTCAAGTCAACATCATTCAAGATGAATTTAAGGACAAACTGAATTTATAACGTATGTAACAATGTGAAACATTTCCCTACCTGCCTAATATATGTTTTTGATAAAGATGATGATTCAAGCAAACCCAAGATGATTCCTGAAGACTAGATACAGTCTTAGAATACTGGATATGGAGGTACAAGTTGATGAAGTAATATTATGCATAAGCCTCCAAAGCATAAGTGTGATAAAATTCATACCATGATATTTTTCATTGTCATAATTAATTATGATGCACCAGAAATAGAAAAATGATTTTCTCTATCATAATTAATTATACTGGTAATATAATCAATTATGAAAATTCAAATTTGAAAAATATATCCATTTTAAAGAATAAATGTTTTTAAATACATCCTGATTTTCTCTATGATATTAATGTCCAACGGTCATTTTCTGATGTTATTTTTTTATTTAATTAAGTTTTGATGAAAAATCAAGAACACACAATTACAAAATTCGAAAATACAATTTACATTCAATCAGTTTTGAGAAAAGAATTCTGAGAAAGACAACAGAGATATTTTACACCTTTTGTGAAAACCTTCTTCTCTACTGCCTTCTGTGCTTTCATTGTTAATCACACTTGTTCTTGGAGATTGACATTCTACAGGCTTTTACAATTTGTTGTCTCCATTACCCAGGTGTGTCTGTTCTTATTTTTTTTACCTTCATCCCTAGTGTGATTCAAGGTAGGTGTTCATCCTTAGTGGGATTCTAAGGAGGTGTTTTCATCCTTTGATTTGTTCAGAGGAGGTGTTCATCCCTAGTGAGATTCTAAGGAGGTGTTCATCATTAGTGGATTTCTAAGGAGGTGATTGTCTTTTTAATCAGTTTACTTTTTACTAGTTATTCTTCTGAGTTGATTGTAATTTGTAAACTGAATTTGAAAGATAGTGAATGGGGAGTCACTCTTGTGTTAAGAGTTGACTGGGAACTGGATGTAGGGTTGGCTATACCCGAACCGGTATAAATCTTTATGTGTTCTTCTCTTTCCCTTATCTCTTTCTCCTTTCTTGATTATATTATTGTTTCCGCTTTAACAAATTATTGACTCACAAATAAATTTTTAATTTGACATCTATTTTAATTTGTGCATCTATTCACCCCCCTTTAAATGCCATTTGTCTAACAAGTGGTATCAGAGTTTGGTTAGATAAGATATTTCTAAACGATCTGTCAAGATGTCTATGCAGAATCAGGTTTACAGGGAAGGAGTTTCAATAAATAGACCACCATTATTTGAAGGAGAAGACTATCAGTTTTGGAAAGCAAGAATGGATTACAAACACTAGATTATGGTGTTTAGGATGCTGTACTCAATGGTCCCTACATTCCGATGAGAAAAATGGAGTCTGGAGCTGTTCCAAAGACTTTTGATCAATGGACGCAGGATGAAAACAAGTGTGCCCAATATGATGTAAGAGCCCGAAACGCTATTGTTTATGCCTTAACTCGTAATGAATTTTTCAAGGTCTCACAATGCAAGACGACAAAAGAAATATGGGACACTCTTGAAGTAACACATGAAGGAACAAATGAAGTAAAGCGAGCACGTAAAAACACACTCATCCAGGAGTATGAATTATTTCAAATGCAGCAAAATGAAAGCATTAGGAAAGAGTTTTGACAATGAGGAGTTGAACACAAAGATCTTGAAATCCTTAGACAGGAATTGACAACCAAAGGTCACTGCTATTACAGAATCAAAGGTTCTCACAAAAATGAATATTACTACTCTATTTGGAAAGCTGCAAGAACATGAGATGGAGCTACAAAGGTTAAAGAATGGTGAACAGAATCAAACTAAGACATAGCTCTAAAAGTAGAAAAATCTTCACAAGACGAAAGCGAAAATGAAGGTAAGTTTTCAGATTCTGATATCTCTTTCTGTTAAACAATTCTGATATATCAAATCAGACTGTCCGGAACTTAAGAAAGAGAAGAAAGATGTGAAAGAGAAGAAGAAAGAGAAGAATGATACCTATAAGAGCAAACACAAAGTTTATATTGCTTGGGAGGATAATGATTCTTCTACAACACAAGAGAGTTCTTCCAAAAGCAGTGATGGAGAAGAAGAAGCAAATCTTTACTGGATGACAAAAGTGATGATGAAGCCTCATCACAGGTAAGTAGTACAAATTCCTTAAATGAATATGATGAGTTATTTAAAGAATATCAAGATATGTATGAAGGTTTTACCAAGTTATCTAAGAAATACAATGCACTTAGGCAAAAGTTTAATGCATTAGAAAATACTATTGGTAATCTTGAAAAAGAAAATGAGTGTTTAAAGAAAGATGTTGAGAAATCTAAAACTTTGTCTAAAAATAAAGAAGTTGTTAAACCTTGTAAAAATTGTAATCTTTTGGAAAATGAGATTTTCAAGTTAGAGAAAATAATAAGCAATTTTTCAAAATCTTCTGAAAATCTTGATTCGATATTAGGTTATTAAAGAGGAAATTCTAGCAAAGCTGGACTTGGTTACAAACCTAAAAAAAAGTCTAGAACCTCATAAAACTATTTTTGTGAAAGAGTCAAGGAAAACATATGTGAAACCAGTTTTAAAAACTTTAAGAAACGCATTTAGACATTTTCAAAGAAAACCAACATGTTTTTATTGCATGAAATTAGGTCATACATCAAATAGATGTTACATAAAACATTTTGGCATATCTAATGGCAAATGTGAATGGGTGTCTAAAGGAACAAATCATTTATACATGTCTAGATGATAATTTGAGCATCTAACTGATTATCGAAATCAGAATTTTTTTTTCTTGTTGTCATAATCAATTATGTTGACCAACTTTGAAATTTG